CCCATATCATCCAACATTTTTAGAGATAAACCAAGAATTATCAAACTGACAATAAGGATTATCAAAATGATAATTACCATTATGTCAATACCAGTTTATTACATTGTCCCTTGATTTAATTGTTCCATTTTAAACCCTCCTTTGTGCAATCATAGAGATCTAACTCTCTCCATTGTAAATATGCTTCCTATTTTTTAAATTATTTTTATTGAACTATATATTTTTCTTCACTCCATTCCCGTTCTGCCCCCTCCTTTTCTGCCCTCTCCCATGAACCCTACATTCCCAGTTTACTCAGGAGATCATATGTTTTTCTACTTCCCATGTAGAATAGAACCACCTTAGATAAATGATGACTTCAGGTACGATTCTGAATAAGAGTGGAGAGAGCTAGCAACCCCTGTTTCATTCCAGATTTTATAGGAAATGCCCTCTGTCTTTCCTGAATTACTGCAATGTTGCCTATGGGTTTGCCGTATATAGTAAGATGATCATATTATTTCTTTTTTAATTATATTTTAATGGCTTACTATATTTACTGCTCTGTATATGTTGAACTAACTTTGCATTCTTGAGATGAATCCAGCATGTCATGATGTGTGGCCTTACTAAGTTCTTGAATTAAACTTGGAGGCATACTGAGGAGTTTTGCATCTATGTTTATAAGAGAAATTTGTCTATAGTTTTTTTTTCTGTTGTATCTTTATTCAGTTTTGATGTCAGATTAAAACTGCCTTTGTAACATTCTTCCCTTTTGTACATCAAGGCACAAATTGAAAAATATTAGATCATCCTTAAAATTGGGCAGACATCATCAGTAAATCCATCTTATGTAAAGCTGGTTTTTTGGGGGATACTTTTCAGTACTGTTTGTGGTGGTTTGAATGAGGATGGCTCCCAGAGACTCATATATTTGAAATTTTGGTCTCCAGTTGTTAGAACTGTTTGGGAATGGTTAGGTGGTGTGGTCTTGGAGGAAGTATGTGTCACTAGGGGTGGGTTTTCAAAAGACTTGCACAATTCCCAGTGCCTGCTCTCTCTCTTTTTCTCTGCCTTCTACTTGCTGGTCAAGATGTGAGCCCTCAGCTGCTGCTCCAGGTGTTCCTGCTGCTATGCCTTTGCTCTGTCATCATGGTCTCTAACCCCCAAAACCGTAAGCAAAACTAAATGTTTTCGAAGTTGCTTTGATCATGATGTTTTATCACAGCAGTAGAAAAGTAACTAAGTTACTGTTTTAACCCCATTGCTTGCTTTGATATTGTGTGTATCTTTCAGATTTAATTTTGATATTCATATGAGTATAGAAAACTATTTCTTCTAGATTTCCTAGGTTTTTGGAAGATGTGTTTTCATAGTATTCTCTAATAATCATCTAAGTTTGAGGATTGTTGGATCTTGTTCTTTTTGTCTGTTTGTTTTGGTTTTGTTTTCTTTAAGACAGGGTTTCTCTGTAACAGTCCTAACTGTCCAGGAACTAGTTCTTGTAGAACAGGGTGGCCTCAAACTCACAGAGATCCACCTGCCACTGCCTCACGAGTGCTGGGATTACCTGACTTTGATCCTGTTCTTATAGCTTCCCTTTCACCTCTTATGTTATTGTGTTGGTCTCTCTTCTGGTTATTTGGCTAAGGGTTTGTTCATTTTGATAACCTTTTAAGAACCATTTAGTGCATTTTCATTTGGCTTCTTCTTTTTCTAGAATCTTGAGTTGGATGATTAGGGTTTCTGAGATCTCTCTGGCTAATGAGCTGTAAGTTTTCCTTTTAGGAAAATATCAGGAGATTCTGGCTGAATGGGCTGTGTTTACATTTGATCCTAGAACTCTTTTAAAAAAATAATTTTATTTAACTTCATTTCATGTGAGTTGGTGTAAAGGTGTCAGATTCCCTGGACTGGAGTAACAGACAGTTGTGAGCTGCCATGTGGGTGCTGGGAATTGAACCCAGATCCTCTGAAAGAGGAACCAGTGCTCTTAACCTCTGAGCCATCTCTCCAGCCCCGATCCTAGAACTTTTTAAATATATTTCCAGATTCCCTCAATGGCCCTGTTCATTCAAATGTGTGTTGTTTAGTGTCCATTTTCTTTGTGTACTTTCTGAGATTTCTTTTGTACTTGCTTTCCAGTTTTATTTCACTGTGGTCTTAAAATACATTTATTTTCTTTATTGTATTTGTGGAATCTTGCTTTGTGCTCTATAATGTGTTCAATTTAAGAGTAGATTACATGCAGCCCTGAGAAGATGTGTGATCTCTGTTTGTTAGATGTAATATTTTGTAGCTATCTGTTGATATCAGTTTATCTATGGTATAATTTAGATTTAGTGTTTCTTTGCTGATTATTAGTTTGGAATAGCTATCTAAATATGAGTGGGATATTGAAGTCTCTTGTTATTATTATATCAGGACCTTTGTGGCCTTTTGTGCCCTTCATTGTTTTATGAAACTGAAAGCTCTAAGATTCAGTACCAAAAATACTTAGAATTGTTCTGTCGTCTTGATGGATTGTTCCCTTTGTTAACCTCCCTGTAGTTGTCCTCTTTATCTCTTCTGCTAGTTTTGCTTTGAAATCTACATTATGAAAATCCTTTCACAAGTTTGCTTACTGCTTTTAATTGCTTAGTAGGTTGACTTGCATCCTTTGACTCATTTTTGGACATTTTTGCAGCTAAGTGTATTTCTTAGAAAAAAAGAAAACAGTTGGATACTATTTTGTGTGTTTATTTTAAATCCAGTCAGTCTGTATCTTTTAACTAGTGAATCCATGTGAAAATAAAGCCATTATTGAGATTTGTTACTTTTTAAAATTTATTTAACTTTATGTGCATTGGTGCAAATGTATCAATTCTTCTGGTACTGGAGTTACAGATAATTGTGAGCTGCCATGTGGGTACTAGGAACTATACCCAGGTCCCTAGAAGAACAGACAGTGCTTTTACCCACTGAGCCATTTCTCCAGCCCAGATTTGTTACTTTCTATGATGTGGTTTGTTGGTTCTGGTTGGTTGAATTATGACTACTTGTTTTCTTTTCTCCTCCTTAGAATAAGAGTTTGCTATGTTCGACACAATGGATTTCTTACAATTCTTCATTCTTCTGCTGCTTTCATGGAATGTGTTCTTCCCTACATCTTTTATGTGAAATTGTCTTTTTTTTCTCTTCTGTTTATAGTGTTACCTAGAAAATTTTCTTCAGTGTTGGTGTGGTTGACATGAATTGCTTTAATTTGTGCTTTTTATTTTTTGAACTGCTTATATTTCTCCCCCCCCATTCAAAAACATAATCTTTTTTATTTATAAAAATTCTGATTGATTTACTTTTGGTGCTTGAAATAGATCATTCCATGCTTTCTTGGCATTTAGAATTTCTCATTTTTCTTGATGTTTCTGCCTCTGTATGTGAGTTGGCGTTTTTCCCTTACCGCTTTTAGCATTGATTCTTTGTTTTTGCATCTTTGGACATCTTAACTATGTTATGTTATTTAGAGATTCTTCTCTGGCCATAGCTATTAAGGAGTTATAAATACCTCTCAATTTGGATGTCTGTCCCTTTCTTATGTCTGTCTGTTATAATTTTATTGAATAAATTGTCTATGCATTTATATTTTATGTCAGTCTCTTCTTTTACCGTCTTTATTCTTGGGTTTGGTCTCATGAATGTACCTTGAAAGTTTTGGTAACATCTGTACATCTGAATTTATTATTTTCATGACTTGTTCTCTGTCCCTGAAATTTGTTTTCTTACTTAGTCTTGTTTCTTTTTGTTGTTGTGTGTGGCTGTGATAATGGCAATGATGATATGAAGACACGGTATATGCACACACATGACACACGCGTCTGTATGTGTGTGTGTGTGTGTGTGTGTGTGTGTGTGTTTGAGTGATGCTTTCCTGTGAGCATTAGAGTATAAGTTATCATGAGTGCCAATGATCTGCACTGGGGTCCACTTGTGTATTAAGCACTTTATCCACTAAACTAATTTATTAGCCCCCAAAGAAGAAGCTTTCTATTGTGTTTTTATTTCATAAATTGATCCTTTTATTTCAAAAATTTAGTTCTTGTTCAGTCTCAATTTCCTTACTTTTCCCCCCTCTATTGTTTTAAAATTTCTTCTCCAAGTTCTAACCATTTCATTTACTTTAATTACATTCTTGTCTAAATCCTGAATAGATTTTCTTGCCTTGTTCATCTGCTTATTTGAGTTCTCTGCATGGTCATTGGTTCCTTCTTTATGTGGGACATGAAAACTTATTACATTTGAGTAATCTCACTATCTTTGTTTTTCATTAATTGGGAGTTGTGAGCTTATGAAAGAGAAATAGTATTTTTCTGTGTTTGTCCTTTGACATCCAAATACCTGCTGTAGGTAACGATCAAGTGCCTGTACTTACACACATATATCATTAAGACATCATACAGAAAAACTGAAAATAAATAAAATAACATAGATGTAGAGGAATGGGAATCTCCGCAGTGGGGATATAAAATGGTATGTCCACCATGGAGACTAATTCAGTAGTGCCAGTCTACCAGTTCTCTTCATGATAGCGAATACCTAGAAACATGCCAGTGTCCATCAGCTACTGCGTTATCAGGTAAGGTTTTTATGAAGGCCGGCTCTTCACAATGATGACTGGTACCGCTAACAGAGAAAGCACAGTACTGCTGAACAAATAGGAGTGCGTGTTGGAAACGTAATGCTAAGTGAAAAAGACAATTACTTTTTTTTATTCTATTCACTTGTATGAGAGGCAGCATTATAAACATTGAAAATCAGCCACTGGCTACCTGCAACTGGTTCTGAGTGCAGAAAGTTACTGCAGATTGTTGAAGTGTTATGGGATCCTAGAACTGGACTGGGGTGGTAGTTTTGCAGTCGTTTGAATTTCCTGAAGTTCGTTTGAATGTTACCTTTGAGATGTGTGAGTTTTATGATACCTCATTACTACTGTTATAAACAGTAAAAAAAAATACATATTTTAAAACATCCTTTTTCTTCTTCAGGTAATTATCTGCAAGAAGTTTTCTGAGAAGCTAGAACAGTTTCCACTGCTAGCCTCTTGGTATCAGAGGATTCAGGAAGTGCCAAAAGTAAAAACAGCTGCTTCTAAGTGTGGGATCCACTTTCTGTGTTTGCCTGAAGTGCTGAATTCTGCAAGTAAATCACACCTGAACTCTAATGAAGTGATAGCCGTAGAGGAACAAAATGATCCGTTATTTACGGGAGGACCAAGACCAACTATGACCAAGTTAATGGTAATTAGCTTGTTTATTTTTAAATTCCTTTGAGCGTTCTTTCCCAATTATTAATCATTTTCTCACGTTATCTATTATACATTTTTCATATAGCTATTTGTATCTTTATTTACCAAATAATGTTTCTGCTAGGTTTGTGTTCAGATAAACCTCAATTAATTGAATAGTTTTTATGCTGTTTGTCTTTGGAACCAAGGCAAAAATACATAGTTTAAAAGTATTCTTTCTTAAGGCATTTTAAAATATTCACGTTGTAGACCAATGTAACCATATCTGGTCAACTATATCATTTTAACCTAGGCTTGCTGTTTGTCAGAACTTTGATTCAGTCTTGATTTTAGTTATTTATTGAATTAATCTTTCTTGGTCTGGTTTATTTAGAATAAGATGATAATCTCCATCTATTTTCCATACAAGTGTCATGATTTCAATATTTTTAACTTCAATCTTGAGGATTTTATTCATGAGTACTGTATTTATATCATTTCTATTTTCCCTCTTTCTTCTCCAACTTTTTTGTGTCACTCCACCTCTTAAATTCATGGCTTTTTATTTAATCATTCTCATTATATACATACATACAGACATACACACACAGAGAGAGACACACACAACAAAACAAAACAAAACAAAAACTCCACTGAGTCCACTTAATGTTGCTTGTATTTATTTGTGTTTAAGGGTGTCCACTTGGGACTGCTTTTTTTTTTTTTAAATATAATTTTTTTATTAAAAAAAAAAAAGATTTCCGCCTCCTCCCCGCCTCCCATTTTCCTCC